CCACCATAAGAGCTCTTGGAAGTCGATGGCTCTACCGAAAAAGGAGGGTGGAGTTGTCTTCTTGGATTTTGATGATGGTTCTAGTTGTGAGCTTGGTAGTTTGTGTTTAGTCTTGTATGATTGTGGCCACAATTATGCAAGTGCTAAATGGATAAGGTATTGCCACTATGAGAATAGAGCAACATTATAGTCACACCTCTCTCTAGTCCAATTTGATTTGAGAAAAAGAGAGTCGGAAGGAAACATGAACACTACGTGTTCAATGCATTGCTTCAATTAGCTTGAGTCACCATGAGAATGGGGGGTTTGAATCTAATAATTGAGAGTTCAATGTCCACGAGAGTGGCATTATATTGGAATTTAGTAGTGTTTCTCTAGTTCCCTTGTCAAGACATTACATGAACTCTAACCTCTATACAAAGGTGGCCTAGTCCAAGCTCTTCCTTTTACAATTGATTGTTAATTGCATTTGTTAATTGTTTTATCATTGCACATTAATTTGTATTTAGTTATTCCTTGATGTTTTGCACAACTCACTCTTTGGAATTGCTTCTAAACACTCTACACTCTTGTGCTTAACCACCTACTACTTAACCATCTTTCGGTCCACTCATTCGGATTATATCCCGTGTGAGGATTCCTGCTCACACTTCACTCCATCACCACTAAACCCCAACTTTCAGAGAGAGGCGTGAGTGGATTGAAGATTAGAACACAAGGGCGAAATTCACTACTGGAAATTATGGAATTTTCGACCACCTAAAAGTGATCTTAAATCAAGTTGATACCAAAAAGTGGTCGGAACAAGGCTTTTGACTTGATTTAAAATCACTTTCAGGTGGTCGAAAATTTCATAATTTCCAGTAGTGATTTTATCAATCACAAGCAAATCTAAAATAATATCAATGTTTTTTTGACGCCGGCTTCTCAGCGGCGGCATCTACAGCTTCATACGGTGCTGTGCTGCTCTCGTCGGAAGGAAATTTCTTGGCTACAGCGAACGGTCCTCTTCCTTTTTGCACCAGTGCTCTCGCGGCGAAATCTCTAGCTTGCAAGGAGGCCCTCTCGTAGATCAAAAGTCGCGGAATCTTGGCGGTTGATCTTCGAACCGATTGTTCGGCCCTTCATCGCTACATTACTACATCAGTAGCTATCTCAAGATCACATGTTGGCGTAGTTATTTATGACTGTTTGCAATTTATGTCTACTTTTACTTCATGTCATTTACGTTTAATTTCTAGACAGTTTAATTCTATCACTCATGCTTTAGCTTTGGCTACCTCCTCACAGGCCAATTCTTTGTATTGGGATTCTCTCCCTCTTGATTTTGTTTCGACTCTTTTGGATTAATATAATCATGCTATGCTTGCTTTCAAAAAAATTAAACTTTTGTTAACACTAATCAACAAATTTCTAAAGTAATTATACAATAAAAAAAAAAAAAAAAAACTAATTTAAACATAGACCACGGTGTGGCTAATCACCGGATGCACAAGGGAAAACCGAAAATAGAAATAAACATAGACTACGATGTGATCAATCACCGGATGCACAAGGGGAAGTCAAAAGTTGGAAAAAATAAACAAAGATCTTAGGTCAAGAAAAAGTTGACCACGTCATAAACAAACCCTGATTCAATATAATCATATACAAGTTTTATATGTAAATCAAATAATCAATATACGAAATGGATATACATAATAATTCCTAAAATTCAAAATATATACACAATAATTCCTAAAATTCTAAATATACACGCAATAATTCCTAATTCCTAATTTGAATAAAATTTATTTTAAACAATATGAATATATGAAGTTTGTTTTTTCAATAACCGACGTCGTATATTCAATAAAAAAATTTTAAACAAATATGTTTTATATACGGTGTTGATTTTTCATAAAATTGACGTCGTATTATTTTAAAATATAAAAGAAAAATCTATACTTATTAACGATGTGGGTTTTGTAAAAATCAATGTTATAAGTGAGACATTATATGCAATTTCTATAGTAGTGTGACTAATACAAGGCAAGCCCTTTACATTATTTTGTTTGGCAAATTGTTCAAGACTTTGGAAATTTAGTATCCAAAGCAAAGATGCCAAAGCCACGAGTCATCACGCACAATTGCACTCAAGCATTTATATTCGATCACCTTTAGAAATATCAACCAGAAACATTCAATTCTTTGATAAATAGGTTTTAAGAATCAGAGTACCTTATTTATCAATGAGTCATCACATACCCCTTTTTTGGCCAATTGATCCATGCTATATAGATTACTCTTCATATTAAGTACATAGAAAACATTATAAATATACCTATGATCTCCATTCTTCCTTCAGTGTGATGAGTATTTGCCCCTTTTCGTTCACTGTAACGATCCCGCCATCACCAAACTTGATAGTTGTATGGAATGATTCATCAAGCTCAAGAAATAGCATTTGTGAAGAAACCATCCAAATAGCATGGTTTGTTTCAACAACACTTCCAACGCCATTTAAGTTACTAACCTCCATCTTGTGCATAATTAATAGCTTGGTTGAGATACTTGTACCAGCATTCATTTGCATAGTCTTGTGTCAGCATTCATTTGCATAGTTTCCACGTTTGTGACAGCAGTAGCACTCTACATTTGATTTATCATGCTTCTCTCTACCACATCCATGACCTCAACCCGACCGGCCTTAACCTTTCGAAGTCTATGTGTTGGAAGTTGTGTTGAAACACATGTTGTTTCGTTCACCATGAGCGAGCTTTGTTGGAGTGATTGCCACTTAGCTTCTTCTTCTTCCTCAGCTCTACCTCTACCTATAGAGTTTCTAGATTTTTTACGGGAATCACCGATCGAGGCTTGCACATGAAGAGGTTGTTCCAACGAATTCTCAAATTTGTTGTCATTGTCTTTCAACCTCAACTTGTGTGCTTTCAATGAACTAGACAATGACTTAACTGTCATTGTTGTTATATCATTAGCCTCCTTAATCGCGGTCAGAATATAGACAATGACTCAAACCTTGGAATCATGGTTCTCGAAAGCTTTTCTACCTTACTTTGTTTTGTGAGAGTTTCACAAATGTTCTTCATGTTGTTGGCCAATGCTAGAACATAACTGATATAGGAATCAATCGCATCACCTAACTTCATCTACAATAGCTCATATTGACGCCTTAATGTTTGAAGATGTGCCCTCTTTGCTTTTTTCATCACCCTTGTACGAGTTGATCAGAATATTCTATGACTCATGAGAGGTCTTTGCACCTTCAATATGCTCGAAGGTTTCATCACTCATCCCTTGATGGATGTAGTACAATGTCTTCTTGTCTTTCTTCTTCTTAGCTGCACATCCGCCAATTTTGCAGGTATTCTATTTTCAACAATTTCGAGCACATCATGATAGTTAAACAACACCTTCATTTGAGCGCTTCAACGATTGTAGTTTTTTCCATCAAGAATAGGAATAGATAGTTGGGTTGTGTTGTTCATTATTGTGATAGATTAGAAGAGCGGCAGATGGCTTTGCACGGCTGGAAAAATGACATTTTCCGTCCACTTTTCTGACCATCCAGAAAAGTGGACGGTAAATTAAGTTTTTTTCTAAATTATTGACCTCCCTATATGGTGGTCGGAATCTGGACAGTATTTTCGATCACTTTCAAATGGTGGTCGAAATGTTATGACCATAATTTTTTAATGGCCAGCTTTTGACAAGTTTCCGACCACCAAGGGTGGTCGGAGTTCAGATTATATATATAAGTCTCTGCTCAGTAATTCTAAAATCCCTAAAATAAAAATCAAATCCGAAATTCCCTTCGACCTGCGTGGCTCACCTCCGTGTCCTCTAGTACTCCCTTCTCGGCTGCTCCGGCCTGGCGACCTTCGTGTCGGCGTCTCCTCCGGCCTTCACCGGACCACCGCTCCAGTCTCTTGTCTCCACCACCACGGCGTCACGGCTCCACCGTAGCACCGCGGAAGTGTTAATCTGCTCCACCGCTACAGCCTCCAGTACTCCCTGAGTTCAGCAGTTCATACGACCTTCGTCTCCACCGCCACTGACCTCCATCTCCACCGCCATTGTAAGGTTTATAGACTCCTTTGAAAATCTCCGTAAGCAGAATAATGGTGCTATTCCCCTCTTTACTTGTGATTGCTGGATTAATTTTTGAATATTATATGTTTTTCATGATACAATGTGATACTTCATATTTGTGATTACAGAGAATGTATATGTTACTATTTATGATACAATGTGATTTACAACCTCCAAATCTGAATTCTCCGTAAGCAAACCTCCGTATGTGTTTGAAATTTTGTAGTCAAATCAAAATGAGATTAATTTTTGAATTTTTTTTTTTTATATGATGGAAGGTTTATGGCTTTGGCAGTTTTACTGCATTTTTTATTCTCTTTTTTTTTTTTTTTACTTAGATTACAACTCCCTAAGAACTCAACATTATTGGACAATTCAATGCCTTGTAAACAGGTCCAAATCCACCATCTCCAATGTCTCATCAACAATCTTCTTCATCAACTGCAGATTGGTCATTGGTTGGATTTTCATTTCCTTAGGTAATTTACATTTGGTGAAACCATGGAAGGTTCCTAGTTAAGAATACACATGTCTTATTGTTTTGAAGGACTGTGCTTTAATTGTAATAATGGTTATATTGCTCCAGAGTCTTCTTAAGCGAAGGAGCTGTAGATTGCAAATTGGCATTACTTTCTTCTCTGTGTTAAGTTGTCAGGGGTCTGCCATATAAGTAGTTTATCCCGTTTAATATGTAGTTTGCTTCTTTTTCGGCATTCATATAGCGTGTAATTTGGTGATCAATTATTAAGGCAACTCTCTTCATTGATGGTGATACTGAGATTGCTTTTACTAGGATGGTATGTTATCTGGGTGAAGAATGGTAACACTGGTTACGATGAGATCCGTGCTGCCATCAAGGAAGCAAAGGCTGTTAAGGACAACCCACAATGATCAGGGTTTGACTCTTTTGCTCAGAATTGATTTTACTGAAAAAGTGATTCTATTGTCTCCCAAGTTTGTTCTTTGCTAAACTCCAGTGCTTGCAGGTGACAACAACCATCGGGTTTGGCTCACCAAACAAGGAAAACAGTTACAATGTTCATGGAAGTGCATTTCCATGTGCCTGATGATGTGAAGAGGTACTACTCCATCATATACAATTTGAACACTAATATGAGCAGAATTACAGTTAGATAATATGCTGATGATGATTTCCTGCAGCCATTGGACCCGCCATGTCCCAGAGGGTGCAGCAATTGAAGCTTTGTGTGTGCATATCTGATTCCTTGATAGAATGGCAAAACATGGAAAAACTTCAGTTGATGTTAAAGCTCTTACTAAAACAAAACATATGAGAAGAAAAAAGAAGGTATCTAAGGTATTATACTCTGCAACTCTTGTATTTCTGTTCTGATATACTAGAATGCTATTTTTTGAAGACTTTATTGTTCTTTTGGGATATATGCTCTCTGAACACTATTTTTTATTGCAGAAAAACAAATCATTGAGGTCTTCTATGCAAGGAAGAAAATGTGAAGCTCGAGATTTGGAACATCAAGATTTTGAGGTATATTTGTTTTGACATTTTTGTGGCATCATGACATTTTTGTAGTTGGTTGATGAAACTTTTAAATTTTTATAGCAGCATGATAGCACTCTGATATCTCAACATAACAATAAACGCAAGGGTAAAGGAATTGCTCTTTCACAATCTCAGGATTAGATATTGCAGCCTCCATCAGTGGCTATTTTAGAAGAAGATAATATGCAAATAAGAATGATACCTATGCCGAAAAACGCAGCAAGTAATTGTGAGATTTCCTATTCAATGTTGCTTTAATAAATAACTATTCAATGCTACTGTTGTTGTCATCATGCATTAATTAAGAGCTCCAACCACGCGGTTTTCTTTATAGCTTGAGTCTAATTCACAAAATATCCAGGTTTATTTTGGCATACCAATTCTGATTCAGTATATTGTTACTGTATAAATTAATATTTTTGTGTGAATTTGTATAGGTGAGGCCGAAAGACAAGAAGAAGGGGAGAAGACTGCCTAGGATTCAGCATCCACCTGCAACACCAAACAAGAATCCGTTTGATGGTGGTTAGTAGGTTAAAATTGAAATTGATGAATCTTTGAGCCGATGATTCAAGTGAATTCTGAGCTTATTTCAGTTGTAATTTCTGATTATATGGGGAGAGAACTGCCTAGGATTTGCTTGTTAGTCTTGTTACTTAGTTGAAATTGTGACTGTCCATTGACCAATCTGTAAAATTTTGAATTGCAGTTCCTCTGCATAGATGTGAGGGCAGTGATCACTATAAGGAAGAAGATTAGGAAGAGGCTTGTTGACAAGATTGAAGACCAGTTGGTGCTTCTTACACAAAATTTTATTAAGCTCTTCCTCTGCACTAATGTAAGTTGAGTTTTGATTTCAAAAGTTTGGAAGACCTCCATCAATAAATAGAAGTAATGGTCTTAAATTTGAAACTGAGTTTGGAGGATTATTCTGCATCTGTTTTTGACAAGCCACATAGTTTGTACATTTAGTTAGATTTGCTTTGTCATTACTCTTTGTAATTTCTTTCTTTTCTTTTTTTTTTTTTTTTAGAAAACTATTTGTAATTTCTTATTTATGTGGTATTGTAGGTCGCTTAGGGGATTGAATCAAAGTTAAATTTCGGAATTTCATATTTTAACTTCGTTTTACATTTTCAACGGTATATTCATGAAAGAATTATCATCAAGCGGATGAAATTTGTATATGTTTTTTAACAAATATATATGTTTTAATATATATATATATATATATATATATATATATATATATTCATTTCACTACGGAGGGATCTTCAGTAGTGAAATGATTTTTTTTATTGACTACTTCCAGTTTTCCGACCACCAAAGTGGACGAAATTTCCGACCACCCGTGGTCGGAAAATCTGGACCCGCCCGGCTATTCTCCTGGCCATTTTTTCCGACGGCATTAGAAAAGTGGTCGCTATTTCCAACTACTTCTCCAGTGGTTTGAAATAGCGAGGGGGATTTTTCCGGATACCTAAATTGGTCGGAAAAGAGGTCGGAACAAGCATTTCCGACCTAATTAAGGCTATTTCCGACCACTTTTAGGTGGTCGGTAATCTGCAGATTTCCAGCAGTGTTGGTACTAGTTTGTAGAAAAATTGAAGTATAAGATTGCAGAACAAAAGTGTGTTGAAATTGATGTTGGACAAAAAGAAAAGAACAGAAGGAATATAAATTGCAGATGATTATATTTGAACTTTGTCTTGTTCTCATAATTACAAAGCTTGTCCTAAAGCCTTTACATATGCGTATGAACAATTAGAAAGTAGTATCAAACAAAGAAATAATATCTTGTAAGTTAGGATTTTGATTGACAAATAGAATTATTCAACATTAAATAATAAACATAATTAATAAATCATAATTAGTTAGCCAAACACCCGCCATCACCTTGGACGTATAGTAGTTTATTCATAATAAGGACATGTGTTCAAAATAAAATATTAAAACTACAAACAACATCAAAGCAAAAGATCCAAATAAACAATTTAGATGGAGATATATAGGAGGCGTAAAGTTTATTCCCTCTCATTATATATGGATAAGAACAATCACTTTTGTGCTTTAGTCATCTTCCTAAGCTCATTTTCAAATATTCCCATAATTATTGGAGGCAAAGCTAACGCCACCAGTTTACCCTTTCTGTCGTCTTCTCTCCTTTTATGAGGTACCAAGAACCCAACTCCATAAGCAACGCCATAAACGCCACCAAATACAGGCTTACCCCATCCAAAATCCACCTCGTCATATCCAAATCCTGAATTGTCTGTTATTAAGAAGTTCCTTAGTATAGCCCCCCTTGGTCTGCCCTTAGTCACCATAAGATCTATAATCGATTTAACATAATCGTCGTTAACACTATTTTTAGCCTCCCTAATCAACTTGGCTGCGTATGATATCGGATTTGAACACAACAATTTGGCTGTGGTCACCGCTGCTACCAATACGATTCCATTACCATAGTATCCAAGGGGCAGTTTGGGGTCCTTCAATCTTTCTCGTATATTCACAATAAAGGTCAATCGCATTGTTGCATTAGGGTCTGGTAGGAGAGCAATGGTACGACATTTCCATAAGCACGCACAAAGTGCCTCGAATGTGGTACTTGAAGGGCATTGGTCCTTGATAGCTTGCAGCTCTCTTGACCCAAAAGTGAAACAACGTTTGATCAAGAGGGAGTGACATATATTTTTGCTAAAAAACACACAAGGGTCACTCGCCAGCTTTTGTACGTCGATCAATTTGGTGATACGCAACAATTTTTCGAAGTCCCACCACCTTGTAGTCTTGGATAAATCGAAATCCTTGAACTCGTTGTGTTCGCAGGTGATGGTTGGGGTTGGCCTTGCAGTTAAGAGGCCTCTCTCCCAAATCGGAAGTGTTGAAGGAGCAGAAGCACCCTTTGCAAGTTCACTCACTGCATTTACAAACTGAATGAACCCTTGGGCATCCATCATGGTATGGTTGAACCGAATTCCCAACACAAAGCCACCACAAGTAAAACGGGTTACCTAAATCACAATACATTTACTTTCTCTGTCACATTTTATCTGTCATACTTATTATTTATTGATCAAATTAATTATTTCGTTCTTTGTTTATTTTCTTTTATATTTTTAACTTATTTTTAAATTTGATTTTTTGTGTTTAATAATATTTTTAGTATGTGTAGTTTCTAAATATATAAATTTTGTATACTCCCTTCAAAAAAAAAAAAAATTGTATACTAATACTAAATTTAATATTATAAAAAATTGAAATAAAAATAACTTCAACAAACTTCATTAATCGAATCATACACATAAAGTGGGATCGAAGAATTATTAGATAATGATGATATTTTTAAGTGATATGATGTACAAAGTTTCGTAGGTCAACAACCTTAGCCAGCTTGTCCACATTGGTTAGTTATGAGTCTTTTTTACTCGATTATTAATATATAGAATAGTGATAGTGATATATGGCCCTACAGAAATCACTTCCTTTGTCTGTTGATTTCATTTTTGGTCTTAGATTTATATGTGATAATTTACTTGTAGTTCTTTTTTTATCATATCATTCTTATTTAGTCTTAATATTATTGTGACATGATATGTCTTTCGTCAATAAAATCGATCATTTTCTGTCTTGCGTCAATAAAATCGCTGAAATGTCGTTAAATACAAAGACATTTAAATCTTTTTTATACAAAGTAGGTTGATCCACTATATTTTTTATATTTATTTTAAAAAAAAAAAATCCATAATCGAATTTTTCAGGAATTCGAAAATAAATATTTCTCCAAAATGGTTAATCCAGGCCAAGGATGAAATAATACCGAAAAGTTTAGAAATTTGGGTTTGAGAGATATATAGATTTTAGCATTTATATTTGGAGTAAATTTTACTAAAGGTCTTCCAAGTTTGACGCATTATCAACTTTGGTCCTCAACTTACAAGTTATAAGCCTATCCTAATAAGTTTTCCAACTTCTCTAAAGTTGTCAATAATAGTCCTCTAGGTTTGAGATGCTACCAAAAAAAAAAAAAAGGTCAAATAGATCCTTGAACTTATAGGCAAAAAAGCAATTAGGCCTTTCAACTTTAAAAAGGTGCAATTAGGCCCTTCAACTTGTTATTTTGAGTCAAATAAGTCCAATAACAAATTTTTCACCTGGAATAACCGGTCAACAAATTCCGGCGACGTTTTCTGGCGAAAAAAAAAAAAACTGCCGGAGAAGACAACCGTTCGGTTGTCTTCTCCAGTGGAGAAGGCCACCAGATCTAGTCGCCTTCTCCACTGGAGAGGACGACCGGACTGGTTGCGTTCTCCAGTGGAGAAGGCGACCAGTCCGGTCGTCCTCTCCAATGGAGAAGGCGACCTGGAGAAGACAACCGAACGGTTGTCTTCTCCGGTAGGTGTTTTTTGTTTTTTAATAAATTTTGTTGTCACCGGAAAATGTCGCCGAAATTTTTTGACCGGTTATTCCAAGTGAAAAACCTGTTATAGGACTTATTTGACTCAAAATAACAAGTTGAAGGGCCTAATTGCACATTTTAAAAGTTGAAGGGCCTAATGCTCATTTGCATATAGTTGAAGGGTCTATTTGACCCTTTTCCCCAAAAAAATAAATATGGTAGATATAATAGCTTAACTCTACTAAATCTTCATACTTATGAAAATAAAAAAATATATATGATAGACTTGTAATTTGAGGACCATTAGCTGGTAGTGCCTCAAACTTAGAGGACCTTTAGTGGAATTTGAACTATTAGTAGTAGTTTTAGAAAAGTTAGGAGGACTTAATGTGGTAGGCTTGTAAGTTGAGGACCAAAGCTAGTAATGCTTCAAACTTGGATGACTTTAGTTGAATTTATATTATTCTTATATTTGAAAAAAAAAAAAAAGTTTACAAAAATGTTAATATGAAAAAAGCCTATAAAAAATTTAAAATTTTTAAATATCAATTGACTTTTAATCACTTTTTAAAAGTTCAAATCGAATATCACCTAAATTTTACGTACTACTAACCTATTTTTAAAGATTCATTAAAATTTTAAATTGAATGCCTCCAATTCTTTAAAGTTTATAAAAGTTATAAAGTGTGAATGGAATACACTACCATAGTTTTTGCCAAATAATTTGATAACATTTTTTTATTGACTTTAGCGATTTTGTCAAATTTTGTCAATTTGTAATTTCGTTTAGAGATTGCCAGATTGGTACAAGTATCTGTCCCTACTCCCAACATTATGATTTTCACTTATCAATCTTGAATATATGTTAGGTAGAAAACATTCCTTTCCGTTTTTAACACTCGTTCGATCTCTAAAAACCAAATTTGCATGTCTCGAGAAAGCGACTGCTAAAGTAAAGTATTAAATCATGAAGTAATTCAAGAGAAAATAAACAAATAGCTCACTATTATCTTACTTGAATAAGCAGAAGAGGGCAATCAATGATCCCTTTGGAGCCAGGAACAGTGTTGAGGAGTTGCTTCAAGTATGGACATGGTGGCTGCATGGATTTATCACTTAGCTGCTCAAACTTCACATTTGCTTTTGCTTCAACAAACAAAACCCCTTTCCCATTGCAATTCACTATCAGTTTTCCATTCTCCCCTTCAAAAATCCTACCCGCCAAGGGATAGTAGAAAACAAGTGCTTTAGCTAACCCTTCTTTGATAGCCATTGCTGGATCTTCTTCCCCTCTCCTTTCAACACTCTTCCTGTAAAACATCAAAACTGGAATATGAAGTCGAACGGTGCCTTGATCATCGATATCGGAAAGCGGTTTTTGTTCATGAGGTGTCGAG